AGAATCGGACGGGCTGCTTGCAGGCGCTGCGCCTGTGGCCGATACGTCGAGAAGTTCGTTGGGAGCACGTTTTTATTTTTGCCGTCGGCCGTCGGCCCAATGGCATTGTTTCGATCGCCAGGGGTCTTGTGGCAGTGTGCCGGTGCTGATTCGCTAGATTTCGGTTTGGGCTGAGACGAAGGCTTACTGAAGAACCCGGATATGCTCTTCTGCGAAAGGCCAACCACGCTGTGTCCAGACGTTCCAGTTCCTGTTGTTTTTGATTTGTTCTCGACCCCGAGTCCTGGCTTTTGTTCCTGCCTAGCGGCTGTGTTCGTCGCGATATACTCCCGCGCCGTCGAGAATCCAAGCGACATGGTAGTAGGCACAGAAAAGTTCGAGCCATTCATTGTGTATGTTGACGCAGACATGTACGTGGTTGTGGTTGATATCGAAGATTCTCGGCTATACCGTGGTCTTTTAGCGCTAGGTTCCTTTCCATCGACTGCTCTAGAGCCGTCCCATCTAAACACAGCGTCCGGAGCCTCTCGACCGTCGACCGTCCATTGGTCATCAAGCGTGGAAGGTAGTGAGACCTGACCCTCGAGCATAGCCTCAGAAGTCGGTCTCGGCCGCCGTAAGATGTCAGCGATTCCATGGACGATCTGTTCATACAGATTAGGTCCCAATAAACGAAACCGTGATTCTATAACCCTTTCCGGAAGGAATGTGGATACATTTGTCGTTTCACCGCTGCGGGATTGCTCGAGGGGGTAACTCAGGTACAACAGTGCCTGCGCTCTAGTCATTGCCACGTAGAGCAACCGTCTCTCTTCGTCCGAATCCTCTGCACGCGAATGAGGGATAATACCGTTATACACAGCCGGCACGAAGACCACCGGCCATTCCAGGCCTTTTGCGGCATGGATAGTGGAGATCGTCACTCTCTCCTGTGATTGCTCACCCTCCTCTCCCTCTTGCTGAAGAACCTCCGTCGAGAGCGCCACATTCGCCAGAAAGCGTGACAGTGCCTCTTCTCCCGGATGAGCTTGGTGCTGTGAGAGGCCTTGAATTTCCGGAAGGCTATCGTCCTGTTCACTCTCCTCCCCAGCTGCAGCCGTATCTTCCGCTTGGCCCAGAAGTTCCTCCACGTTCGCCCATTTGTTCTCCTCATTGGTACCGTACGTCGATGTAAGATATTCTCGGAAGCAAAGCTTCTTGATTACAAACTCAAGAAGCTTCTTCGGAGCCGAACAATCAGTGCATTCGAGGAGTTTCTGTCTCGATGACTCGATCAGACCGACAAAGGCACCTAATCCATGGCTAGTAGGCTTCGACAGAGTCTTTTCGGTCGACCTGCGACCTTGTGCCACGTCCTTTATGAAGTCCCAGAGAGGCTTGTTCGCTTTGTCCGCGCCACTCATCAACGATCGAATCGATTCTTCACCTATTTTCCTCGATGGAACATTGATAACTCGCAGAAGCGCATCGGTGTTTCTTGGCTGGCTGATAACTCTCAGGTAATCCAGAAGTAGTTTGATCTCTACTCTATCGAAGAAGCGTAAGCCTCCGACCATCCTGTACGGCATGCCCTGTTTTCCCATCTCCGATTCAATCTGTCGCGAAAGTGCGGCCGACCTGAGCAATATTGCAAAGTCCGAATACTTCAGCAGCTTCCCCGTCAAGGCAATGCATCTTTTAATTTCGAGGACGATCCACTGAGCTTCGGCCTCTGCTGTTGGCAACTTTCGCAATACCGGCATCGTCCCTACACTATGAGTTGGCTGCAGCCTCTTAGCCGGCCGCGACGAATCTTGTTCAATGACATCTTGAGCTGACCTCAAAATGGACCCCGAAGACCGATAATTATCCTCTAACAACACAACAGATGTATCGCTATAAAGCTGCTGCATACGTGTCAAGTTCTTAATCTCAGCCGATCGAAACCCGTATATACTCTGATCTGGATCCCCGACAACTGTGATTCGTCTGTTCTGGGATGCGAGAAGGTTCATCAACTCATACTGGATATGATTTGTGTCTTGAAACTCATCGACTAAGACTGACTGGACGTTCGAAACGCACTCCGGGTGCTGTCGAAGCAGCTGGGCGCACCGTAGAAGTAGATCATCGTAATCAAGTAGATTCGAATCTGCCAGATGCCTTTCGTACGCTTGGTAAACCTGAACAAACTCTTGATGCTCTAGCACCTTAGAGCCCTTCATATGTTTCGCTTCCAAATCCTCCGGCGTCACCCCATGTGCCTTCTGATACGAAATCCGCCCGCGAGCCATATTAGGCTGGATATTGAACTGTAGCCGCTTGACAATCCTCTACCGCACAAAGAGATCTAAGTAAGCAAACCACACCCCCCAATCAACAACCATTCTTAGAAAAAACATACCCTAATAATGGCCAAACTATCCCCGGAATCTGCAATTCCAAATCCTTTCCGCAGTCCAATCAAGTACCCATAAGTCACCAAGTACCGTCGACAGATGGAGTGAAACGTTCCCAGAATCAATTTCGACTGCACCCGATCCCCAACCAACTTTGCCAGACGCTCCCGCATCTCCCGGCTCGCTTTGATTGTGAACGTGCAGCAGATGACATCTTGCGGTCGATAGCCATGGTGGGCGAGGAGGTACGCGACGCGCGCCGTTAAGGTCTTGGTCTTTCCCGAGCCGGGCGGGGCGAGAACTTGGAGGATCGATGACGGCGACGCCACGGCGGCTCTCTGTGCAGAGTTCAACCCATCGAGTATCGAATCCATGTGTTTTGGGAATGATTTGGGCGTGTTGGGGTAGTTTGGACTTTGTGGGGGGTCGGGGTGCGACGCGCTCTTATCGCGTGGTCATGTGATTCGATGTATACTGTGAAGTATGGATGCTGTTGTTCTGGGAGGTTTCTTGGTCGTCTCTTTCTCTCGGATGCGGAGGGTTTTCGGGGACGTGTGCATATGATCGGGTGATGGTCTTGCAAATATGTTAGCTTGGGTTGTAACATTGGCCTTCGTCCAGTCTGGAGAGCGCACCCTAACTGGCCGAACAGAGAGAGAGCTCCATGATATACATCACGAGATAGACTCGGGTATCGGCTAGGTATACGATACAGCAAGTACAAGATGGCTTATAGAGACGCAAGGAGCCCCATCATGTTACTAAGTATATGGAAACAAAGAATATCGCTGGGTACGGCAGTATATAGACCACGGAAGTGTAGAGGGGGGCTGGGGAATTTTGCTAATGTGCAGAGCGCCCTTTGCACATCGAGGTCTAAAAGGCCCTGTAGTATAGATTAAAGGTGGTAGTTCATTAGACACTGGCAAATAAAGGAAGTTTATGATTTTCGTTAGATCTGTTCATCGTGATAGACTGAGTCCATGCTGTGGACCTCTGCTATATGATCATGTACTAGTAGTCATGCTGAGCAACAGTGCAGGCATAAGTACTAAGTACAGGATGCTCTTCTCAGAAACTATACCTTCTATAGCATGCCCATCATGTACAGATGACGAGGTAAACACTAGCAATTTACTGACGACAATGTCTGGGTGGTTAAGCTTAAATTATACTTGGACTCCGATCGTCCGATGCACGGGCCACATGATTTCCCCGGGCGTTTGGAGATGTGTTCCTGTCGTCATTTTTTTTGTCCTCTCCGATCTTCAGGCATCCTTCTCACTTTCACCATCTACACCCTTCGGACCACCCAGGATGGGCTGGCTAGGAGTGGCTACACTCATTGCAACCGCATGTTTCTTGCTTTACCGTCACCCTCCGTCCAGCTGGACGTCTGAGCCCACCATCTCTTCACCCCCGTCGAAACCAACTCTTGCAGAGCCACCTGCCGATCGCGCCATAGATGATACAAAAGTGAAGAGTGATTCCAAGCCCCTCGAAGAAAAAAACGGAAATTTAGAAGACCCTCAGTCAACACCAAAGGCGTCTGCATCGAGTCCCCCGTCCCTCGAAGTGCCCACGCTTCATCTCGACAGCGGCAAGGCTGAGAAGCCAGCCATCGCTACCGAGAACCAGGCCGACAAAAAGCCAATCCAGAATGGATCAGCGAAGCCCTCAGAACCGGTTGCTATCGCAGTTAAAAATGCTGCCATGCCTCCTCCACCACTGCCCACCGCAAGCACTTCCTCCTTAATGCCTCCCCCGCCGCCACCTCGACTCCGTCAGACAATGTCCCAAACCCAACAACCACAATCCGCCCCCGCGGGACGATATCCCCCGCGCCCAAACCCAGGTAGCTCCCTTCGTCCGCCACCGTCTGCAGCAGCGTCCCTACGTGTACCGCCTTCCGGTCGCTCTTCAAGCAATAGCCTGGCGCCCATCAAACTCACCGCACAGCCCTCCAACTCATCGAAGCGGGCGGTTCTCGAACCAGGCTACTCCCCCCTGGATTGGGCCGCGCTTACATCGAACCCTAAGAACAATCTGCGGGGTGCAAATCTACCCCCAACTCTGGTCAAGGTGACGCCGTCGATGCTCAAGGCGCAGAATGGCCGGAAGGGTCGCGATGCCTGGACTTCGTACCAGGGCAAGGTCTATAACATCACGCCGTATGTCCCATTCCACCCCGGCGGGAAGGGCGAATTGCTCCGTGGTGCCGGGAAGGACTCGGCGAAGTTGTTCATGGAGATTCACCCATGGGTGAATTGGGATGCCATTCTGGGGGAGTGTCTTGTGGGCATCCTCGTTTCCGAGAACGATGGAGCGGCTGAGAATGCCCTCGATGCTATGGACTGACTTGTATTTCCTTTTTGCTTTGGTTTTTCTTTGAATCGTTCTAGACTTGGAAACAGCCGATTGTATTATACTAGAGGTTTCGCACGATACCCGGAGATACAGACATCTACATACATACATACATACATACATATACAGATCAATTTCGAAGTTACTGACTCTCTACTCCCCTGTACCGGGATCAACCGACACCGTAGTAAAACAAAAGAGATTCCCATTTCAATAACTAAATTTAAAACAAAAAGTCTAACCCCCGAACCAAATTTACAGCTCATCCTTCGAAACACCGTCAATACCCACCAACTCCGTCTCAAAGATCAAAGTCGCACCACCAGGGATCGGCCCAACTCCACGAGACCCATACCCATACTCAGGGGGAATAGTCAAAGTGCGCTTCTCACCAATGCACATATCCAGGAGACCCTCATCCCACCTTCCAACCGAGAAAAAACATTAGCCTAATGCCCAGGTCCATCACAAGTAAGAAAGAAGGCCAAATGAGAAGACTCACCCCTTAATAACCATACCCGAACCGACCTTGAACTTCAATGGCGAGTTGCGCTTGTAGCTAGAGTCGAACTCGGAGCCATCGGACTGCAGCGTGCCTTTGTAGTGCATCTGGACGGTGTCGCCCTTGACGGTTTTGCGGGTGCATTCTACCTCGTGGGTCTTTTCGATGCCGAGTTCGGCGGCGGTGGAGAGGGTCGCGAGAGAGACGAGGAGGGTGGAGAAGATTGAGAAACGCATTTTGAAACTTGAGGGGTGTGTTTGGTGAGTGAGAATGTGGTTTTGCGTGATGGAGTTGAGTTGGAGATTGATTGATGTTTTGGGGGTGGCTGAAGTAGGGTCTGAGGAAACGTGGTTGGTTGGGGTTCTTTATGCGGAGATTAGATTAAATGCGGTTTGGCGTAACTCCGGGTTCGTCCTTTTAGGTTACCTCAGGCACCGATTCCTTGAGTACTCCGGTATGCTAATTAAACCATTAAATTGGTCGTTGTTTACGAAATGTCAAGTTAGAACAGTCCTTGAAAATTTTTATCAATATTTTTTAACGTTTGAGAAAAGCAAATAGGGGTAAAGTTATATTTTCCGAAATACCTAGTAGGAGCAATGAAGCAATAAATCAATGGGGCAATGGGGCAACCCAGCAATAAATCAAACAACCTGCCGATGGGGTATATTGCACACAGTAACACAGCAACAGAACAAGATAAAATAAAAGACAAATCTTAAATCAAGCCCATTTTCCAAGAAGGGCCATCAGCAAAGCACCCAAGCATAGGAGGAAGAACGCGGCCAGCACGTGCTGGATAGGCGCCTTTTTCATCGAGCTACTGAACATGAACTCATGCGCCATAAGCTCCACGAGTGCCGTGTAAATGAGAATACCGGCGGAGATTGAATCGAAGACTCCGTTAACAATGAGAGTCGTGCGGCCCTCGGGAGGGTACGAGTTGCGAACACCCAATCCGATCGCGATCGCGATTGGTGTCGACAGACCGAATGCAATGCCCAAGAGATATGGGGTAAGACGTTTCGAGCGAGGCCAGGGAATTGTAGCCAGTCGGGACCCCAGACCAAGACCTTCAAAAGTCTGGTGGAATACAAGGACGATATAGAGCGTAACGAACTCAGCACCGGATACGGCCAAGGTCAAGCCGATAAAAACAGAATGGAAAATGATACCAAATTCCAGGATGAAGACACCAGTCAGCTGCGCCATATACTCCTCGAGAGACGTATCATGAGAAGCTTTCTCAGGGTCATGGTGGTCGCGGGAGTGACCCAGATGATCCCGGCCGGGAATATGCTTGCTGTCCAAGACCTCAGAACCACTCTCAGAGCCACCAGTCCGGGTCTCTCCATGGTCATGGTCATGGTCATGGCCATGTTCATGCGCCAATTCATGTGCATGGCTTTGGCCAAACCGAGCATACCGCATGACCATCATCTCGACAAAGAACAGCACTACGATGGTCATTAGGATAATACCCTCGACCCAGGAATACTCTGTGATCGGGCCTGTCAGGCATTCATTTGTTAAGGCTTCCTCAGCAGGAGCTAACAGATGAATGAAAGCCGTAGCAATAATGACACCAGAGCCAAAATATTTGGCAACGAAGAAAGCCCACTCTAAATACTTCGTACGTCGAAACTGTCCTGCAAAGACCGGGAAGACAGCGCCAAACATCGAACCGACCATGATGACGAAGATAGAGGAGATGCGCAAACCCATGCGACCGTCGTATTCGTTACCTGTATCGCAGGCAGGGGCGGGCCCTGCATCCTCATCCCGGGTGAGGAGAGTGTGTAGAACATCCATGCTGTCCCACTTCCCTAGAGGATTTGGTTGACTGGAGAGATTGACAGATGCCTTTCCAAAAACCGATGCACGACGGCACGGGCCAGGAGCAATAACTCGAAAAGAAACTCTCTGACAGGCACGACAGCCCAATAGAACTCAAAGTTGAGGTAATAAGGAATTCGCAAATATAGAAACCACGTGGGAAACGAACGGAAACACTCGCAAGGGAGGCGAAGAATTCTTGGACTGCAGGATGCCGGTGCTTGGTATTCTTGGTATCTCAGACCAATTTATGGGTTTTCCTGCCCCGCTACCCTTATATCAAATCCTGTTGTGCAACGAGGTGTCGACCGATGTGATTGAATGTCCGCAAGGTCCTTGAACTCCACTTCTGGCGTATGCTTAGTGTCTTTTGTATCCAACCAAACGAGGCAGCGGTAGGGATCCGGTCTCGAGGTGAGGACCTTGGAGTGTAGCGTGGGATGGATGTATGCCTAGCACGACTCAGAGTGTATGTCACCTTTCGCAGTGTATGATGAAGGACGTGTGGTTCGACGTAACAATGACTCGTTCCTTATTCCTCAGGAGCCGATGTGAGGATGGTTCTAGGAGGTACTGTACACTAACGCGGAGGAAGATGGAAGTGTCCATGGTGGAAGGGCGTCGAGATTTCGATGTCCCACTTGTATTGGTGTGCGGTCACAGTGGACGAGGACCTTGGAGGCAAGCGGATCTGAAGACATTTTCGGACTTCATTGAGGACCTTGGGGACATGCTGACCCTCCTTTTCTTCCCATCTGATTGGCAACCTCTTGCTTTGTCTGTGGGGGCCTGTCACGTGAGCGATGCTACTCTACTATAAACTTGGGTGTTTCAATCGGTGGTTCCCGAAGTCGCTGTATCTTGGTCCGGCTCTTAGAGGATCGGCTGTGCCATATTACTCCTTGTTGATGGTGTAAGTCCTGAACACAGACCTTCATTAGAATGTTAGAATACCCATTGTGCTCTGGTCAATACTACAGGTCCACGATCTATGAGTATACTTAGTAGTACCCTCTGAAGACCATGCATACAACAAACGACGTGACCGTCATGGGGGTAGAATTATTGAAAGGGAAAGCGGTGTAGACTGGCTCTGGAGGGGCTGGAAAAAGGCAGCCGCCTTACATAATGGACGAAGTAATGATGATAACTAAGTACACGAACTAATTATTTAGTAGTAATGACTGGCCCATTGTTACCTACACAGATTGCTTTCCCTTCATGATGACTTCGCTGATTGATTTAGTGTGTCCATGAGCAGTCACATACTCTTGTGTTCTACCTAAAATTTACCGCTGGTTTTGCAGAACCTAACCCTGGATAACTAAGAGTATCCCAACGTTGAAACACATTCGCAAGCGCCTAGTAGGTAGCAACAAAAACTTCTCTTGAGTGGCTAAATATACCAGAGACTGTCGATGCGGTATGTAACGACCTCGAGTAAACCCAGATAAAATAACATAATCAAAGTAATACTACGTACCTACTGTAACAGTACGAGTAGTTATATTTTATCAGATTCGCGACTGAGTAAACAAAGCTTGGCAGAAAGCTTCCGATCATGTGGAGGATGGCCGTTATGTCATACCAGTCAGCCAAACCTTGGCCACCCTTCTTTTGAGGTTCTACTCAAATAGATTGTCACCCCTTCCCTTGGCTTATGCTCAATTCTAGCTGCGAGATCCACCCCTACATCTCTGAAAATATTCGGATCGCAGTATGGCCCCTCTTCGTCGATACCTCAGAATCAGCAAGTATACTATCCTCGAATGCCGGATCTACCTAGAAAACCCATCGGACACACGATGGCTCCTCGACAGCCGGGAGCCCGTCCTACCCCGGATATTCACTGCTATTCGCCCGTTAGTTCTGCCTAAATTACGCGAGGAGAGCGAAAGGCTCTTTGCTCGGAAGAAAGGGAAACCAGTGAAAGACGTGATAGCTGAAGGTATCCCGACCAGATGCGGGAACTACCGCGGATTCCAGAGAATATGCCAATGTCTAATCATGCAATTGATGTAGAGGACTTCGAGGTTTCGTTATTCCTCCGCGAATCCCGAACACGCCACTCACTCCTCACGCGGCACAAAGAGTTCGACGAACCCCATAACGCATCGAGAGCAAGAAATCCATCCCAACCTACGGAAAGTTCAAGCGGGGCTGCCGATGCTGGTATTTTGGTCGAGAGCGATAGCGAATCTAATGTCAGTTTGCGCGACATCCCTCCAGCCACTGCGGAGGAGAACGGTAGAATGGGTAAACGTCAACGAGATGCAGACGGAGCATTCGAAGCCACAGCTAGTTCACGCGCCTCGAAACGTCGAAAGGATGAGGAACCGGATGATAAGAAGTTGCGCTTCAGGACGAACTATGAGGGTTTCAACATTTATGGTTGGATTCTATGCCTACTTGTTACGCGTACAGGGAACAAAGTTAGAGCAAGTGCGGGATCTTCGGAGCCCACGCGCCAGGCTCTAATGGAGGAGTGGATGTCCACTCAAGCCCAGGGAGATCTGGATGAAGAGCAAGATGTCAGCTGATCTAGACATTTTTGCCAGTCGAAACAGGAAGTATTGTCATACCTGCAGCCATGCTAGGGCTCGACACTCTGTGCAGCGTACACTTCGCATCCATCTCCTTGTCAATGAGATCAGCAACCGAGCTCCAACTGAATTCGTCAAGGATAACGAAGCCAGCGATAAAACCAAATAATACAACATAAAATGAACACAAGTGGATTCGGAGGACTACTTCGCGTTCATCTTAATTTGACAGGTTGTAGACATTTGATGAAAGCAAAATACTACTATATTGGTTAGGAATCTCTGGAGAGCAAACCTGCCTCGGAGCCAAGCCAAGGAAATATTGCCCCTTGACACGGCAGCACACTGAGCGCAGCTCATGTGACGCCATATTTGGAGCTGGTAGTAGTGACTGTTTGTTCACGCCATCACTTCAGCAGAGATCTAATTGATCTTGTCTGTCTTGTCTACCACGTGAAATATGGGCATATTATTCTGACTCATTTCTATCCCTCACCTATGAAGAGTGGTAGTTCTTTTCGCGGAGGAACAAGGAAAACGTTGAAGCAGAAATCGCATGTACATGGCACTTCCTTAAATTGGCCAGTCTCTTGAACTACGCAGCCAACTTGAATAAGTCAGGTAGATACCATAGTAGCAAAACATGCGGATTGGAAATCATAATCTATTCTTTGGTTACTATAGAACATATCTAAATATATAAATGTCATTCAGAGGAGTAGTAGAATAGTCCTTTCAGTGAATATCATTAGTATGAGCGAATCTCGGTGGTACCCATTATTGATTTGCTCCAGAAAGCCCTATGTAGATTCGGCGCATCTCTGAATGGATTTGTTTACTCAAGCGCTTATGGGACCCTTCATTACCTTGGAATTCTGTTCAGGTTTCTTGCTCTCGGACTCGTAGTCCTCGCGTTTTTCGGCTTTGTATATATAATACCCTAAATGTGTCAGATGCCTCTCTTTTTGTTAGTATTTATATACAATGCTCTAACGTGCGAGATGACCCTTGTCGTTCCGTTTGCTCTCCTGCGAGGTTTTCTATATTATGCACAGCTCAGGTCACACAACAAGCACCTTCCAGAGCCCACTTGGCCCTAATATTGATATATAATACGTATCACTGAGTCTCGCAGGTGCAAATACTTCCACAGGACGATGTCTGTAAATGACCCTAAAACTGGTAATACTTATCAAATATTTCACCGCCTCATACCACTCCACCATATACTATGCAGGGCCTATTCAACATAATATAATGTGACTTGGTTTCTAGAGATCCAGGTCGTAGGTTCTAGAAGCATTGTTCTATTAGTATTTGTTCAAAACGAATCTTGTTCTTGGGAGATTAGTCATAGTTCTCATTAACTAGAACTCGCCGATATATATGTATGTGTATACATATTAACCTGAGTAAGCTTCTTTTTGGACTGTGACACAGTTATCACATTTATCATAGAAAATACAAATCTCATGTACTCCAAGTTTATGCCAGCATTTCAAACACGTCGAGAAGGACTTGTGACAAGAAATGGAGAGGAATATATTCAGGGGTAGCACTGTGAATCAATACCTAAAGCAAATAATTTTGGGCCATGAAAGCGAAGCAAAGGTCGGTCTCTGGAGGTTACTACTATGGTGAACTACATTAATTTGGCCCTGAACTGTATATGGCGGATGCTGTTAGGATAGGAAAGAGTTGAGAAGAGTATTAGGCATTGGGATTTCAAGCTGGATTCCAACTCTTTATATACGGAGAGGAACCGCGCCATCATTGTTTATCTTTTTCATTGTCGCTTCATACTATATGTCACTAGAATTGGGGACGTAGCTTGGTCTTTGGAGGGCATAGGGACTGAAGATAGTTATAAAAGCGGCAATAAAAGCAAGAAAGTACGGAACGGAAGGATGGTGTTGGTGCATGTTCTTTGATCGCTTTAGACTCCTCTGATTTCCTACTGAAAGGTCTAGCGTAAAGGTAGAATCGTGAGCGAACAACTTAGCAGCACAAGAGTATGGAATTCGAACCTCCGAATTGCCCCTCGGATCATGTGAGCGATAGCCACAAAAGAGACCAGGCACCGATGTCATATCTCTTTCTCAGGAAACGACCTTCAAACCAACATAGCTCTTTGTCCTCGTAGTCATTCTGGCTAACCGATGGTTACAAGACGTTACATCCCTTGAGCACCGGCGCAGAATAACTCTGGTCATCCAACAATGTAATCATCATCCAGACAAAACGCCAGCCAGCCACCTCCAAGACAACGAGGGAGGTAGCACAGTCATCATCTCAGCTCACACGAATGACCACCCAAGGAGGCGGGGGGAACACATATCGCCATGTCACCAGGCACCGTATGACCTCTACATACAACTTGGATGAGCAACACCCAGCACAAGTAACCTGTCTTCCATCCACCACAGAAAACCGACGTGGCCGACTGCATCCATCGCATGGTATCAGTCCCTTCTAATATACAGCCGTGCTGTGTAACTCGCCTACCAAGCCCAGCATCAGGCAAAGTGACTAAGACGAATGTATATATCGCATGGTATGCGCAGCGCGCTTCGCAATTTTCTCATACACGCACCCTCTGCCGTGTAACGCATCTCAATATCAAGATACCTGACATGCATACTTGGACAGGTTGCAAAACAGGGATATCCTGCTGCAGCTGAACGTTCTAGTTCTGTATTTTCAATGCAACTGGATATGGGCCCAGCTATGTACCTACGCAACTATATATGGTATGCATGTAGTGCATGATTTCAGTTCTATTCTATACCTTTTGAACTGTCCCATATATGCATAATATATCGCACAACTATTATACATCATGAGACAGAGCCCTAAATGAAGGACCTGTTGTTGGATCACGCCACATGCACATATCCTATGTAGGGTTGTACATATCTGTAGAACGTCGAAGATCAATTTAGACTTCCGGGTTGCTGCAGGTATTAGGTAAATGTCATGCAAGTAGTGGCGGAAGGTATCATATGTATGTATATATGACTTACATGGGGAAGTAGTTTGGTTTATGTGTCAGATATGTTGTCGGGTTTAATATTTCGTCGTAGTATAGGTTGGTTCGGCCGAGTATCGTGAATTACTCTACATTGGTTGATTCCGGGAGCGTTGGTCTCTGTTGTTGGTGTCATGGGTTGATTGGGGCCCGGTTTTTTTTTTTTTTTTTCTAAATTGTTCAATATATTTGTCGATATGCTTATTTATGTCTTTACTAGTGTGGCTACGGAAATTCAGGACATCGCATACTTGCTATAAAATTCGTGATATAGCCAATCCCAATTAATTGTATAAATCACGTATCTTTATGATAGTGGAGTGTCAAAGATCCTAGTCTCATTTAAAACTCATATAAGCTCCTTGCCAAACAATCCAGAGCGATCAGAAAGGTTATACTGTGCACTATTGACCCTGAGTTATGGAGTCAGGTAATATTTTGCATACTTTATCTGTGACATGGTTCACCATCAAATAGAGATGGTTCTGGACCGACCGAGGCACCGCTACGGCGCCGAGATAGGGCTAGACTGGGCGAGTCCTCTCGAGGCTTAGCTCACTGAGTCACGTCGTCCTTTGCAGGTCAGCAACCGCGAGTAATGGTCGGCCGTGCATATACGAGCGGTATCGCAGCCTTGTCAGATTATTGACTGCTTTCGCCTGTCCTATTGAGAGGAAGACGGCGGTGCTGGTGGTGGCTGTTCGAATCCTGCACGTCGTCAAGGGACGAACCGAACAGAACCTTATTCAGGCAACCATCCGATTTATCTCCGCGCTTTTCCTGTTTTCCGTGGCACTAGGAGTTCATATCCCGGAGTGTCCGCGGGACTGGCTGAGGCATACTCCAGGAGTGAGAGGGGACAAAGTTCACCGATGGGTCAAGATTGCCGATGACATTCACGTCATGACATCATGACTGTGAAGGAATTCGGTTCGTTCCTGGCGCGATTCCTAGGCACCCAAGAGGCAGAGTCACCTACTATATTGGGAGCCCGAAATGGATGGTGGACCACGGGTTGAGTGAAACAAGATTGCCATTCTTGGGAGGAGGACAAGAACTCCACCACCACCACCGCCAAGTAAGTGGGCTACCGATCCAGTTAGTTAATTAATTAGTCCAATTGATTCGAGGTTAGCGCTAAGGCGGCGAATCCCTCACCCAGGACAAGATGGAGCTCACTAATGAGCGGTGAACCATGGAAACCAAGGCTTCTGGAAGGACTGAAGATGTTCTACCGGGAGGCAAATACCCATACGGGGGTTGATCCTTATTTTTATTCTGATCTGTTCCGTTGCGCCGAGGTTGCTGCAGATATTCATTCTGAAGGTGTCCAGACAGTTGTTGGTGGTACTATGCAATTCGATCGATCGTACACGGGACTGGATATAAGGCAAGGATTGACAGGCTTGGATTGTGTCATGTGCGCATCAATAGCCTTTTCTCGTGTTAGAGTAATCTTACTTTTGCCTAATCGGTATTTCATAGCATTTTCTCTAAGTCGGTCGTGCATGTCGCCAGCTTAGCCGAGGGCTTAGACCTGGGTTAGTCTCTCCGCATGAGGGAGTTGTCTGTGTCTGTGAGTGATTCCGTCCAAGGAGTTTTTCAGACTAAGAGTCCAACGGCGCAGAATGAACGCTTTTTCATAGTGGGGATCTCATTTTACGGAACCGTATCTCCACTTCCGTTTGAGTTTTCTTTTTTGGCCATGTGTCTTTTCCCGCATTTTCAGCCACAAAGAAAAAAAAAAAAAAAAAAAAAAGAAAAGAAATAAATAATTTTGTTCTTTAATTTTTTTTATAAAAAAAGAGGGATCATGTGATAGTTTGGTTGGATCTCAATCTGGTACGTCTGCTGTTACGCACGTCTGGGATTAATTCCAGATCGAGAGAGGTTCGACGAAAGATCCCTATCCAATGGGAGACATTTGTTCCTGCATCCCCCGTCAATCGCTCACTAATGCCAACCATCC